TAATCGCATGCCAATGTGCATTGGCTCGTTTAGTTTACACTCGAAGTAGATTGGTCTCTCTAAGCGAGATCCCCAATTTCGGCGGTCATCTGACGTGACGTCTCCGTTCCCTCCTTCAGGGAACGAGGGTTACCATACGTAACCGAGACGTTACTTTTTTAAAATAAGTAACTCCAGTTACTTTGTTTCCATGTATTGAGTGACAGTTCTGGTGTTGCCATGGTGACAGAAATCAGGAGTAAGTGCAGAGTGTTGTTTGTGAACATGATCTTACTGTAGTTCTAGACTAAATGTCAACATGTATTTACTCATCTCACCTGCACAAACAGATTCAGTATTCCTCAAAATGAATAAAAACAGTCAAATGCAATAACGCAAATAGCCTTTATGTATTTAATCCTATTTTATTAACCAATGTCTTTGCTTCTGACTTTTGATGACCCAATTCAACCATTTGGATAAACATAACATTTGTGTTATAAGAGCAAGAGAAAGTTTTTTTTTTTTAATCATTTCACTTTTGGTGCGATAGGGCTTTTACATTTGCCAAAAATAGATATTTTGATATTAAAAACAAAATAACAAGCCCAGCCCAGATAAGAAAAAGTAATGCAAAAGTAATGCAATGCACTACTTTCCATAAAAAGTAACTAAGTAATGTAATTAGTTACTTTTTTAGGGAGTAACGCAATATTGTAATGCATTACTTTTAAAAGCAACTTTCCCCTCACCTTCCTTCAGCATGCCCACTTTCAAGCACTTCATGAAGCGGCATGCCTGACAGGACTTGCGTCTTCTTTTCGTGATCTCGCACTCATTGGTGGCCGGACAGCTGTACTCGATGTTACCTGGTGAGAGGCAAAGAGAAAAGAGAAAAGTGAGGCGCTTTCCACTCGCAGGGCTGTCCAAAAATAACCCAACGAAAACAAGCTAATGCAGGAGAGTTTTACAGCGCGCCACCGCATCCATCAAAGCGATCAAAAGAACTCTCTATAAATCACTTTATTTATAAAATCATCTTTTACTCAATTTGATAAATTGCCTGTGGCCGCAAGACACTACAAAACAGGGACAGCGTGTGCTGGAAAGATGAAGAAACATGAGCCAACAAAACAGATGAGACAGGATTCAAAGCAAAAGATCCCTACGCGCTCAGTGCTTCCATTCGAATCGCACCTCGCCAAATTACATTCACAAATTCAGTGCGCATTTGTGCAAGCGCTCGGCCCGCTTTACATAATACCCGACCCAAACTGAGGCCAGTTCTGCTGCTCGCTTGCTATTTACATAGAGAATAACCAGCTACTGATACATTATTCAAGCTGAGCGCTTCAGCGCTTGATACCTGCACAATAAAAGAGCCGTTTGAGTGGCATTGTGCGAGTAACAATAGGCAAAGTGCTTGATACACTCGGCCATTCTGCGTGTGTCCGTGTACATTTAACTGCGGCGAGGCATTTCAATTAGGACATGTATGGGTAATGGCAGGAGCGACGGCTAAATGCAGAATGACAGTCACCAGACAGCGCTCTTGTTCTCGTGCGAGCATGTGGTTTGAATGTCTATGTGGACGGCGCTCGCTCAATATATTCAGCCTTGTCTTGAAGACGTTGTGCTGAATAAAAACAATATGCTCTCTGACATATACTGTACGGCTGAGGAAAACAACACTCGCTACAGGACGACGATGGGATTTGCCAGAAAACATCTCTAGAGCGGTATCTCTGTGTCGATGAGTGTTTAACTTTTATATAGTTGGTAAATAGTGTTGTTTTGGTGTGATGTGACAGAGCTAAATGGGTTGGTTCTGGCAAAGATTAATGCATTTAAGGATTTCTTATTCATAACTAAATATCTATGTTTCAACTAGGGTGTATTTAGTGTACATGTATATGTTCAATGTCACTCTAATTAAAACTGTTCACTAAAAATATCTCACTGATTTTATGCTAATTACGGCACTTATCAAATTATATAAGCACTACATAACACAAAACATGATTTTTTTGTTATTTAAAAACAAATAAGCAAGCCCAGCCCAGGTGACAGAAAGTAAAGCAAAAGTAACACAATGCATTACTTTCCATAAAAAGTAAATAAGTAACACATTTAGTTACCTTTTACGGAGTAGTGCAATATTGTAATGCATTACTTTTAAAAGTAACTTTCCCCAACACTGGCAATGTACATATTACACTGGATTAGTGCATAACATGCAGCTGGTACAGTTATACTGTGAATCTATTAGTTTTTTTTTTCAACTGCTTACACACGTTTTTAAAACTTTGCCTCTTTTTTTTTTTTCAAAACTTTACACACAAATCCGAGAACTGCACACACAAAATGCAAAATGCCTCACTCATCTCTTGCAAAATGAAGCGCTGCATTCAAAATATCACAAACACATCTGAAAAGCAAACATTTGCAAACACCTTTGCCATAATATTAATTCCCAGTTAGATTTGTGTGTTGTGTTTTGCAAAAAGTGTTTTATGAAATTGAAAACTGAGTCAAAGGCTGAGAATTAGTGTATGGTTTTGCAGATTTGGTGTGTGCTTCTGCTGTTTGAGTGTCAGCTTTCAGAAACTGTGACAAGTCAAGATTTAGTGTGTAAGCAGTTGAAAAGAACTGTAATGAACAGGTCAGTAAACCTCCTATATATCGGTTGCAGATGAAGCTTCTCCATCAGTGTTCTTCTGCTCTGAAATCTTCCACAAGCTCTTCCATCCCCCATTCCCAACTTACTCAATTATGTTAACATTATTGCACAGATCAAGTAGAGGGTCCCAAGATGTATTAAATAATTAGAAATTCCCCCTTTTATCTGGGTTATACAAATCAGTATGCAGATGTAGCAGATCTCTTTGGGTTTGGGGTAAATAAAGGTGTGCAAATGAATGTGATAAAGTCTGATCGCTCCTCTTCCTGTTTTCCCATTTGTTGTCACAATCAACTAAACAGCGCTAATCAAACATATTTCCTGTGCATTTCCAGATAACAGATGCTTTTGATTCATGGTTTTCCCACAACTAGTATGTGCAGCGCCTCATTCCTCCTATCATATTTTCTGGAGAAGGAAAGGCTGAGACCTCCTCTTCTGGGATGCGTCCCTGCGGGATCATTATGGCAGGATGCTTCTTGAATTGCAGTGTTGGTTAGCGTATCTCGGACGTCTGATTGGCACTCCATCAGGAGACGGATGGCCCTCATTCCCTCTCAGATACGCTGCTAGTCTCACGTAAACATGCTTCTGACTATCAGCATAAGGTCTGGTCCTCTTCGCAGCTTATTCTGGCCTCAAAACGCGTCAGACAGAAAGAGGCCAGGATAAATCACAATGAGGACTAGACCCTGTGCCAACAGTGACTGACATGTTAATCAAAAAACCACAGCTGAAATTAAAAGACTGGTCACTAGTTTTGGATACTTTGGTTAGGGTTGCATGATTTGAGTTTTTAAAATATTTAAAATTTTACGACTATAAAATATTATTATTATTAAATATTAAACAAAATTACTATTATAATATGTAAAACTAAAACTGTAAAATGAAAAAAGTATATTAATTTTGTTTTTAAGAAAATAATATAATAATAGAAATTTTATTTGAAGTGTAACTGTAAATTTATAATGGCAATATTTATGGCTGCATGATTTGGGGAAATCTAGTTGCGATCTTTCTGATAATTGTGATTGTGATTAAAAATGCAACAAAATGTGTTTATATATCAATATGATTTAACATACTAAGAAAAATAATAATACTTATGAAATAATAAAAACTAAAATAATATAGATATATAGATATAAATATATAAATTATTATTAATATTAAACAAAAATATTATCATATTCTATTGTAAAATAAAAAAAATATTTATATTGTATTTAAGAAAAGTAATAATATATACTAACTAGTGCTGTCAATTGATACAAAAAAAAAAAAAACTAAATAATCGCACATTTTTTCTGAAATTAATCACTATTAATCCCACCTAACATTAACGAACATTTTGACAGCACTAATACTAACATTAATTTTATTTTAAAGTATAACTGTAAACTAAACGGTAATTTAGCTATAAACTATATAACTAAATTACAATACTAATATTTATGGCAGTCTTCATTTTTTAATTTGCAAACGTTAAACCATCAAACCATTATTTTAAGTGGAAAACACTTAATTATTGATTAATTATTATTATTAAATTAAATTAAAACACTGGATCATGTGTAAATGAACACAGTGCAGAAATTCCATGGTACATTAACATTAAATGTAAACAAAAGACAAATTCAATTCAGACGTAGTAAATAGTTCAAATTTACTATCGCAAATATTTCTAGCTCATATCATATAAAGATTTTATTTGCAAACAAGAGGCGACACTTAGAAATGATGCAATATGGAGGACGAGCGTGCAATCGCTTCAGTCCACTCAGAATGGATCTACTCGGAAATCCTATAAAAGTTATATTCTTAAAATAAAAAGTCTCGGGATTGGAGAAGACAAATAAAGTTGTGTTGTTTTTTTTCTTCTCAACATTTATCTGCTTTAATTTCTTTGATGGTTTTTCAGGACTGGTGCCAGGCCATGGTTTGGGGAGAGACTCGGGTCAAGTAAGTAAATTACAGTAAAATGTAAGGTCTTCCTCATCAAAATCTAACCAGACTTTTACAGGCTTACTGTCAGCCCGGATTACTGCATAGAGGAAAGAGATGGAGCTTTCATACACGTTTACACCTGTGTCGAAAATGGGCAGCAGATCAGGGTGAGTCACGGCAGTCAGGAACCATCATGTGATCAGAGATGTTCATTTAGACCGCCTCTGACTGATTGACATAGATTGACCAGCTTGGAGATGATTATGAGTTTAGAGCAAAACGGAAAGAAAAACTGTGATTTCTGGTGACTGAACACGTTTAGTGAAAGCAAACTATAAAATCATTTTAAAAAAGTGCACACCCAGCTCACAGGGAACGTTTTCAGAATGTTCTGGCAAGGTTCTCTCAAAGTTATGAACAAACATTCTTCCAGTAACATTTATAGAACCTTTGTTAGGTTATCTGGTCTTTAACGATGTCCTCAAAAAGTCAGCACAAAAATGCTATTTATACATTGTGCATGGAATGTTTTTCTAAAGGTTTTTTAACAAGTTTCAGATGGTTTAGACAACATGCAAAGGTATCTTTTCTAATGTTCGAAAAATGATAAAATGGTTTGTTAATGTTTGCATAGCCAAGAAAAAAACAACTCACAAAGCTGTACATTTTCATAACTTAACAGGAATGTTAGCACAATGTTCTTGGAACATATTTTAGTTAGCTTGGCACATCCATATTTTTTTATGTTTGGATAGACACTGATGCAAACAATATCAATGATCGTCAGCTTCAGCTGCATCAGATTCTACTTTGTAAACTATTTACAAATCCTCTTTCAGTCCAGATCTGGAACTGAACTTTCATAAGAGCAGTCATTTATTAAATGAATGAACCTTATAATTCCATGAATTTAATATTTGTGATATGAATAATAATTTGCAAACATTTGTAAGTCACTTTTGTAAGCTTCAGAAGCTGCCCAAGTGTTGTGTGTAAATGTCTATTAACACATGTTTACTAGCATTTATATTTATTAATTTTTTTCTGGCCAAAATACATTTTTGTAGTAAACAGTGAAGCTCAATTAAATATATTTTTGAAATTAAAATTATATTTAGTTTCAACCTCCATATACCAAAATATATTTCAAAATGTATTTCAGGGGCAAGAAAATACATTTCTACATTTCACTGAAGAAAATACATATCATTGCTAAATGTTATGTTTTCACACGTGTTA